TTTGTGTCGCTTGCGGGGATCGTGTGCACCGAATCGTCATCGTGCCGCCACCGGTTCGCCGATAGTTGGGTCGATGCTTGGTTCTTCGATCCTGTGTATTGGAATTGTGCGCTTTACCTGATCCCGTATCTTGCTCCCCAAGGCGGCGAGGGCGTCGGCGCAAATGTTCTCTCCCCGCGGGACTTTGATGAGTTCAAAGAATTCGAATTCCCGAGACAGGATTTTGACCAGTTGGAGGTATGCATTCATGCGGTCGTTCCGAGTGTCGTACTCGCCGCTGAACTGATTCGTCACTAACTGCGAGTCGGAGTAAGCACTGAGACGTCTTGCGTTGACCACCTTTGCCAACCGAAGGCCCGCGATTAGGTATTCGTATTCGGCTTCGTTGTTTGATGCCGGGAAACCAAAACTGAACGATTGCTGAATTAGTTCGCCTGTCGGGGACTGGAGTTGCACCCCGGCACCCGAACCTTGGTTGGTAGCTGATCCGTCGACGTGGAGTATCCAGTTTCCCTGTGGCAGTGCGAGTTCCTGGGTGAGTTCTTCTTCGAGATCTTTCGGTAGCTCGATAATAAAATCGGCGAGGACTTGAGACTTGGCGGCGGGGCGTCCTTTGAATACAACGTCGTGCTCGCTTAACTCGATTGCCCATTTTGACAGTCGGCCCGACTGATTGGTATTCTGCATGACAGTTCGGAGAGGGTAATTCGTTAGGACTTCGACTGTGTGGGATTGGAAATATGGTCGGAGCTTTCTCGCGGAGGTGATTACTTCTAGAGCCATTTTCTCGAGTGTCGGGTAGCGCATCTCGGGTTCGGTCATACGCTTACTAGTATAGAATATCGGCCCCTGTTCACTGCGATCGTCTTTAATCAGAACGCTGCTGACCACGGTTGCCGATACTGCAATGTAGAGGGATAGGATATCGCCGGACTCAGGTTTCGAGAGGACCGGTGGCGTGGTTAGGTATTGCTTTAACTGTGCAAATGCCTCTTCGCAGTTCTCGTCCCAGAAAAAAACGCTTGTTTCCACGCAGGAGTTCATAGAACGGAAGACACTTGTCTATTGAACGGGAGATAAACCTGTTCAGGGCCGCAATACGGCCGGTTAGGCGCTGGACTTAGCGACTGTTTCTCGGGCTGGGAAGGTCGAGGATCGCCGAGATCTGTTTGGGGTTAGCTTCGATTCCTCTCTGTGTTACGATGTACCCGAGGAATTCGCCAAAGGTAACCCCGAACGTGCACTTGGCCGGGTTTAACTTCATGCCATACTCGTTCAGCGTCCGGAAGCATTCCGCAAGGTGCTTCGGATGGTCTGGGGCACGAAGTGATTTTACCAGCATATCGTCGATGTAGACTTCCATTGTGCGACCGAGATCGTTCGCAAACATTTTGTTGACGAGACGTTGGTATGTCGCCTCGGCGTTTTTGAGCCCAAAAGGCATATCTTTGTAGCAGTAGGTCCCTCTATCTGTGATGAACGCGGTTTTCTCTCGGTCATCCGAAGCATAGAGATTTGGTTATAGCCCCAAAATGCGTCCATGAATGTTAGCAGCTCGTTTCCGGCCGTTGATTCCACCAAGCGATCGATGTGGGGGAGTGGGAAGCTGTCCTTCGGGCAGGCCTTGTTGAGATCGGTAAAATCGACGCAAACGCGCCACTTGCCGTTTTTCTTCTTGATGACAACTGGGTTGGCTAGCCACTCGGGATACCGAACTTCCGTAATTGAACCGGCTGCGAGTAAGCGTTCGACTTCCTCGTTTACCGCCTTGGAACGTTTGGGTCCCAGTTTTCGCCTCTTCTGCCTGATAGGCTCTAAGGTTGGATCGACGTTCAGCTGGTGTGAGGTGATAGAGGGATCAATTCCTTTCATGTCGGACGTCTCCCAAGCAAAGGTCGATTGATTTGCTCGCAAAAACTCGACGATGTCGCGCTTCATTTCGTCAGGCAGGTAGGCACCAATTTGGACTACTTTGCTCGGATTGCTGCCATCGAGCTGAACCTCTTGGATTTCTTCTTTTTGGGGATAGATTTTATGGATTGGTTTGGCGATTGCGTTCACTCGGCGCAATGTTTGCTTGATATTCGCTACAAGCAACGCGCGAGCCGCTTCCTGATTACCGCGGAGCGTGCGGATGCGTCCGTCATTGCCTGGGAACTTGACGCATTGATGGTAGGTGGATGAAATCGCCCTCATTGAGTGTAACCAGGGTGTTCCGAGTATCACGTGATACAGAGCACTCATGCCGATTATGGAGAATTTGACAGTTCGTGCGACGCCTCCTGCGTATACCGGGAGGCGGATAGTGCCGAGCATATCCTCGGATGCGCCATTGAATCCGGTCAGGGAACGGGTCGAAGGTTTGATGAGTCGGAGGTCGACCCCCATTTTCTCGAGGGTATTGTGGAAAATGAGGTCGACGAAACTGCATGTATCGATGAGGACTTTAGTTACCTCGCAGTCGGCGATTCCCACTTCGATCAGTAGCGGATCGTTGTGAGGCATGTGGACCCCGATGGCATCTTTGGCCGAAAACGTGATATGGGGGTCGTCTGCAGGTAGAGCGTTCCAACCTCTGGAGGACTTCGCATGCCTTTGGTCTGCTTTGACGGAGCGTACTGAATCTTAACAGGGCGGTGAGCCCCCCATGATGAAGTTGAGCCGAGTAGGCATTTCCGAATGCGGGTCAGACTTGGCGAGAAATCTGATCTTATCCAATTGTTGGCGTAGATCAAGCTGCTTCGATTGATTGAGCGTTTCTCGGAGATCTTTTTTAGTTGAGTTCAACTTATCCCGTAAGTTGGTGACGTTTGCGTCTGATGTGACTCGGCGGGTTTTGGATCGGTTTATGGAGTCTCGGAGATCGTGGGCGGCATTCGGTGCGCGAGCTAAACGTCGCGCGGTGAGGAGTGAACGCAGGTCCCGGGATTCGTTCTCGTCGTCAGATGAAGACTCGGGGCCGGTAAGTATGACCTGTATTCTCTTTCTGTTCTTTGGTTGTTCCTTCTCGGGAGGCGGTTCGTCACGATCACGGGGTTCGGGCTTCTCCTCCTTAGGTTTCGTTGATAGTGATTCCACCCTTTGGCGCGAACTACGACTGTCGAGTCAGAGATGGCGTCTTCGTCTACCATGTAAACGAAGCTCTTCTTTTTCGGCTGTTTCTCGTCTGCCGAGTGTTGTCGCGGCTCCTGTTTTGAGTCGGCGGTCTTGCTCGGCGTTGGTTTATTCGCATGCTGCTTGCTTATCATCGCCTTGGTATCTTCTTCCATTCGGATGAAGTTGTTCGAGCGTGCGATAGCGTCCTGAAGCGACGTTGTTGGGTTGCGGTAGAGGTCTTCCCGGAACTTGGAGTGGATGTAGAGCGTATTTTTCAGGGCATCCACTGCGATGTTGTCGGGGACGTCTACCTTAGACACGACCTCCTTGAATTTCTCCATGAAGTCTCTTAGGGTTTGACCGTGCAGCTGAGATTGCTTCCATAAATCGGAGGCGGTGGCTTTATGGTTAGTGAACATGATGTAGTGTTTCAGGAAGGCTGTCGATAGATCACGGAAAGTATCGATGGAGTTCTCCGGTAGGCAGGAGAACCAGTTCAGCGCGGCCCCTTCGAGGCTCTCGACGAAGCGTTGGCAAAAGCCGGTGTCTCGTTCGGCGTCGGTGAAATTTGCCCGGCCCATGGCGATATTGAACGCCGTCATGTGTTCCGACGGGTCGTCGGTACCGCCAAAAGTAGGCAGGCTGATTTTCTCTGTGATGCGTAGCCGGACATCGGTGATGCGGCAAGTGAAGGGTGTACAGAGGGCGGTTGCGAGGACCTTGTCAATCTGGGGAGCGGCGCTCGTAACGTGGTGGATCTGAGAGTGGATTTCTTGAAGTGCAAGCTTCAACTCGGCGATTTCTCGAACGGTCTGTAGATCTGGGCTGGTTGCTGGTTGCGTAGAGTCAACCGGGGTGTCAACCGGCTGGATGGGTTGGTTAGCCGGAGTAGGAGTCGGATTCGTGTTAAAAAGAAATCGTCGAGCCGTGGAAAGGTTTCCGTCTGGATTTGCGAGTGCGGCGGCGATAGCTGCGAGGTGCTCGTTTGTCGTCTTCTGGACTTCTTCTTGGTGAGCAAGGCGAGTTAGGACGGAATCCATTAGGGTATTGGCGTTCGGAGCCGGTGGAGTTTCTTCCGGCTGTAAGTCGGAGGGAGCTTCTTCGTTCATCTTTACGTCACACTACTTTGTTATGCCCCACGGTGGGCGCCAACTGTTTGTACCGAGTTCGGTCGTGTATCAGTGAAATGAGTGACGGGACTCGTCGGTGGGTTATTACAAAGGTATAAGTTGAGACGAGCAAAGAGAGAGAGAGGTTTTATTTATAATCGGATAGAGTACAAAGAGAGTTCCCGGTGCTCGGAGAGCTCAACCGGGAGAGTGCACGGATTTGACTGTGACAACGAAATATACAAGATGATTAGCCCTAATCTATGCCGCCGTTTAGTGAGTCTGATTTCGGATCCCTTTTTGTGCTCTTCTCTTCCCCTTTTATAGCTTGGACTCTCCCTCAATCTTAACCTAGGTCGTCGCCGGCTCATGCGCCTTCGGTATTGGGCCTCTCGTTGGCTCGGTAAGGTGAATTCTCTGCCTGTACGGACACCACTCGGGTGTCAACGAGTCATGTGTCCTTATCGACAATTTACCCCCTATCGGCCGAGTCTGATTTCCTCTGGGTCTTGAGGGGTGGGTACAGCCCACCTCCTACACCAATGATTCCACTGTAGATGAGTTCATCCATTTCGTGTGCAATAGGTTAGCAGTGATTGCGTCATTGAGAGTTAATGTTTGATAGTTGAAACCGAAAGTATTTCATTACTAGTTGTCACAAATCCCGTAGTTTTCATATCGGTGTTGATACTAAGATGCGAATATATGTGAATATAACCACTATTACTGAAAGTATATAGATGACATGACATACATATGAGAACAATTAGGTTTATGAATCAGTAATTACAGTATTTAGCTAGGGCAAGGCAAATAACGACAATAGCAGAGACGCTTGTTCTGGGGCTGAGAAGTGCAAGTGCAGTCGGTTGGACCGAGATCTCCAACAGAACCCCATGTCGCTTTTAAGTCATCAAAACATTGTGTGAAATCTTTTTTGCATGAACCATCAAATATTTGTTTTCTTGACGGGCACCATGGTCTTATCTCCGCAAGAATTAGGTTTGGGGTAAGGGAGAACAAGACACAAGACATCAAGAAAATCACACCCAACTTCATATCTCTCTATCTCTCTCTTTTTGCCTATCTGTTGTTGTAACTTGTAAGTTTTTCTTATATGATACCTATATATATAATATCCACGCATATATGATATTGCTCTATATATTACACATGTACCTTTGACCCACATAATTTTGCATCTTGGGTTTTGCAAATCCATTAAAGCTAAGAATAAAAACAAGAATCAAGACTAAAATATTTACTAAATTCAAAGCAATGATGATTATATAAAGAGAATGATGATTTCAAATTAATAAAAACAAAGGTTCATAAAACTAGTCAAGATAATATATTTAAATATATTTATATCTCAATATTTTATTCCTTTTATTTTGAAATAATTAGATCTTTTAGTTTTTACCCATGTTAATTATAAAATTTTATAAAAAAAATTCTTTTATTTGAATATTGTAAAGATAAATAAAAAAAATAGAAGATGAAGAGTTGTACATAGAAAATAGAAATATATAAATTTCCAAACAAAAAAATCTTCCAAGTTCCAACCTATTAAAATAGAGAAGAATATTACTTTCAAAATATGTTGATTTTATTTTTCTATATTTTAATTAAATATATTAAAATTTTGAGTTTATTAAAATAGGGAAAACGATTTATTTCTCCACCAGATAATCACATAACGAAAATTACATGCAATTTTAACATTCCACCTATCTTATTTATCCAATTCTAAAGATTTAAACTTACTTCTCTAAGAAATGAAATTTCAAAACCAATGTTCACATAACCCAATTAATTCTGGTTTCTATTTACCATATAGACTTATACCAACTCAACATAAAAATAAACCTTATTTAACCCAATTAATATTGTAAACCAAATATCTGACCAACCCAATAACTAAACCCTCTGTTATATTCATTTAAAACATCTAAACTATTAAAAAGATAAAATTTGAATTAGTCCTTAACTAGGTGATTATCCGCCCGCATGACATTATATATTAATAATTACTGCATACTAACTTTGATCGTTAAACTATTTATGTCATATGTCCCTAAACATACACTCATAGACCATTATATAAGGTTGATGAGTAAAGCCATGTTTCTTTATATTTTTTTAAAAAACATATTTAATTTACATTTGTCTTCAATTTAAATATAAAGTTGATGAGTAAGGTCATGCTTGTTGATATTTTTAACCTATTTAATTTATATTAGGCTTCAATGTTACAATTCACCATCTCACTTTGATATGAAGAATTGTATTTTTTAATTGATATGATAAAATAACATTTGAGAACTGCGCTTGCGCGAAATGGACTTTAATTATGTATACAAATTTTCTATACATATTATTTTTGTGGGTTTATTTACGTATTATGCAATAATAAATATATCATATTAATTGAGAAGCAAGTAAGCACATAAATAAAAATAATCCCTATATTTTTTCATAATAACATTTTCTAGAAAAAAAATTAAAAAAACCATTTATTTATTTTATATGGTATATAATTAACATTAAATTCTATTGACATAGATATATAGTATATTTTAATATAAATATTTATTAATTGAGGCTTCTTACTCATATGATTTTATTACCATTTTAATATTTTCTGAAATAAAATTACTAGTTTTATTCATATAAATATTTATTATTTTTGACTTAATATTCAATGCAAATTTTGACTTAATATTTAACATGTTTATATATTTTATAGATGATATATTTTAAATTAAACAATATTGAATGAGATTTTATATTTATATGATTTTCTGATTATTTGTATTTTGGTTATAACAGAAACAATTAAACCATTGATCACAAAAACTTCAAGATGTATTGTTAATAGTCTTAGTAAATTATAATCGTTTTCAAAAAATTCAAAAATGTAGCATATAAGAAAAACATCTATTTTTTTATTATATGCATAATATGAATGTTTAATTTAGTTTAGAATATTAAATTAAATTAAATTGATGGAGAATACAAATTTTTTTATCAAATATTTATTACTCAAAATCAATAATTGTCATATATTTGTTTACCATATTAGGTAATTTTGTAAATTTTATTTAATGAAAGATTATAAAATATTTTTTATAAAGTTTATCATATATATATATATAAATTTTCTAGCAATTGGATTTTCGACTTACTAATGTTTCAATTGATTCTTATTCTACCACGTTAACCAAATTGACATCCTAATTAAACGACACCTAGGCAAGATTTTTTTAATTATTACAAATTTACAATTACAATTTTTTAAATAATTCTCAATTAATATATAAGAGATTTCCTTTATAATTACAAGTGGATGTCGCTGAAGTTATTAAATATTAAAAAAATTAAATTACTACAGTCTTGAAGTTGAATATATCTTTAGAAGATATGAACAAAGAATATTCATTAAATAACCAAATATCAATATTTTTTAATTTAAAATTCCTAATATAATTTCACATATGATTTCAATTAAATAGTCCCTTTTAATTTGTACGAAAGATTTTTTTTCCTACTTTTTCTTGCTTTTTTATTGTTTTTTGTTTAAATATATATTATTATCACAACTAAAATATATGGTTGGATTTTATATATAACTATAACAAAACTTGATAAAAATATTTTACTGTGAAAACCCAATTAATTAAATTCAAACAAAATAAAAACACATGCACAAATCAATTTTTATTATATGGAAATAACTTTGAAGTTATATAAGATACCAAAGATTATATTATTAAATTTTATTTTACAGATTCCAAAATAAGTATTTAGTTTTAATTCTTAAGTAAAAATCCAAAATATTTTTATAATAATAATTTTTTTATAATAAATGATTTCTCATCCAACTTTAAATAGGAAAAATTGAATAAATCACATATTAAAAGTTTCCTAAAGATCCAAATCTTATCTCACCTATACATAATTAAAATATATTATGGATACAAATTTAAACAAAATTTATGTAAAAAGGTAGAAAATAAATATAGTTTTATTATAAATTGTAACCAAAATTAGGGAAATTTGTCAAATATGACTCAAAATTTGGTTTCAAATGCAAAAGTAAACTCAAACTTGAATCAAATGCAAAAGTAACCTAAAAGACTATTGAAATTACAACAAAACCCCTTGTGAACAAATAAAAAACCCGATTTTTTTTACGTGTCTAACCCTTCTTAAAAATAAATTCAAATTTTTGTAAAAAAATATTTTGATAAGTGAAAAATTGAAATCATGTAATTAACATATGTTTTAGGAGATATAAATTAAGATATAACAAAATTTAATTGTTTTTTAACATAGATGAGTGAAAGTAGAGAGTCATGATATTCTTTGGTTTAGGTTTTGCCAACATATGTTGTAGTGCTGTATGTGTTTCTTAGGGCTAGATTTTCGAAAGCATAAATATATTTTTTTAAATTTAAAATTTACCTAAGTGTGTTCATTTCTGTGTATAGTAAACACTATTTGAGTATAATTTGATCTTATAACGTGGTTAGTTAGTTAATTTAGTCAATTTAGTTTAGGGTTTAGGGTCTGGATGACTTACTATTAAGCCGTCTGGTAAATATATTTAAGGCAGACGACATTAGTAAGTCGTCTGATGTATATTATTCAACGAACGACTTACTAGTAAGTCATCCACACCAGGTCAAACCTTTAATTTTACCAATTTACTTTTAAACCTAACCAGATTTTTTACCGAACATATAAAAGATGTTTTTTTTACTCATTTTTTCGCGAAATTCAGAAAACCTTAACGCTGTTTCTCTCAAAGAAGATTTCCGTTGAATCTCTCTATTCCATCGTTCTCGCCGCCGGTTATCTCTCTGTCTTATCACCGTCGTTATCACCACCGTTCTCACCGCCGCTTCGTCTATTTTATATCTCAAAGCCTAGCGCCATTTCTCTTAGAGGCATTTCGTTGAACTTCACCGCCGGTAAGTTATATCTAAAGAAGAACATTAAACATCGTTCTCACCGTTGTTCTCATCGCGCTTCTTTTTCACGTCTATTTTTGCAGATCTATAACCGCTTTGTCAAAGTTATATCTTCTCCGAATTTTCAGGTCGGCTTTACAATGTTCTACTGGAAGTCTTGGAAGACTTGCGAGACGACTTACTTATAAGTCGTCTGGAAAGTCTTCCAGACTTATAATTAAAATGTTATACTGGATGGTTGTGTGTTTGATATGGTTGTATTTGATTGTTTTGCAGAAAAAAATGGGTATTCCAGAACTCCCATGTAGGATACATAGAGTAGGGCAAGAGCCCCCACATTGAATAGCACTTTCGTATCATCCGTGTACGAAGTTGTATACTTCTTTAAGGAATGCTATTCATGATGATGAAGATAAAGAGCTGAAGGAGTCTAAGTTGGGAGTTTTAATCAAGTTCCAAGAGCTGGAATTTGATTGGGCTTCAAGGCTGGTTCACTATATGCTCGGTTTCCAGCTCGACATAAACAAGAAGTATGAGCTGTGTAGTCTTGTTGGTCAAAAACCTTTGAGGTTCTCCTTGTTAGAGTTTGAATACATCACTGGTCTAAACTGCGAGTACATCGAGGATCTTGAGAGACCAAACTGTTCTGTTACAAAGGAGTTGGCTACTTTCTGGGAGTTGTTGGGAGTTTATGTCAAAGCTGGGACAACTACTCAACATATAATAGCAGCATCTGAGAGATGCGAAGGGTGGTCTCCGGATGATCGTAAGCGGCTCGGGTACCTTGCCATCTTCACTGGATACATTGAAGGGAGGAAGTTTTCAACCCCTACACGTGTTAGCCTGGCAAGGCTAGTGATGGATCTAGAATGGTTTGAAAATTATCTATGGGGGAGAGTTGCATTTAAGGTGTTGATGGACTCTGTCAAGGGAAAAGAAATTTCGGGTTGTTACACCATTGATGGGTTTATACAAGCTCTCCAGGTCTGGGTGTACACAGCTCAGCCCGAATTGGGTGCTACTTATGGTAATCCCATACCAATGACCGTCTCCACCGATACTGGCTTACCGTGGTGGCAAACG